GGCCCATTGATGGACCAAGAAGTGGAGGTTCCGGGTTACTTGGGAGCCTCGGAACCCAAGCCCATTTCTTAGGCCCAAACATGTGGGTAAGCACAAGAGAGGAAATAGCCCAATTGCTTCAACTAGAGTAGCCCAACCAAAATAACCCATTACTTTAGATAGCCCATAAAGCCCAAATACTTGGTGAATTTAACCCACTTATTAGATGACTTGGCCTTCTATATTAAAGGGCCCATACCATTTGAATAAAAGGAGTCCAAGGCCTTCAGCACTTGGCTGAAGCAGAAGTCCACGAAGAAAGCCAAAGATTCACATGTGAGGGGCTGCTGGGGGAACAAGTTCCAAGTGCAAGCATTCAAGAAACCAAGGGGTATTAGCACGCAGGGGAAGATGCTATCCCTTAAACCAGCAGGTGCACCCATTTTTCTTTCCTTCATCAGATTTGGCCGTGAAAAGAGGAGGAAAGAAGAGAAAGAAGATGGGTGAAAATGGAAGCTCTCCTCTGAAGCTGTTGAAGCCTCGAGCTCCCAAAAATCCCTGATTTTGTGGGATTGGGCAGAACTGATTTTTGCCTCCATGAGGTAAGTCAAGCAAGAGGAGAAGAAAGGAAGAGGAAAGCTTAGCTAGATTGGAAAGAAACCATTAGGGTTTCTTGGAGAAGACCCATTCCCAGCAGCTATAAATAGGACCCCTTCTACCCAACACAAGACAACCCACAACCTTCAGAGAGCAAGCTTTCTCTCTCACATGCAAACCCAGGAATTTTCGTGCTATCCTTCCTCATTTTCCTTTATTTCCCCTGTTTTGGCAGATTGACAGAAGCTTTGACAGAGTCACTGTCAAGCTGCCGGAAACTGCGAAAGTCACCCAAAACTCTTCACCATCCTTCTCCCTCTTCATCAAAACTCCTTAGAGCCTCTCTCCCTCTCCATTAGAACCTCTGTACCTCATAGGAACCCACAGATCTCTCTCTCCTAAAGTGCTAAACTCATGATAATTTTTGCTCCCATGCCATAAGTCACTCATGCCAAGCTAGAATATTTATTTGTAATTTGTTGTCATTTTCATTGGTGAAGGTAACCAAGGAGTTTCCTAAGGCGTCATCACCCTTTCGAGACATCCTTGGGGCTTGATCTTCGAACTCAGACACAAGGGGACACTTGCATCAGATTGCTCTTTACAGCAGCCCAGCCCACTTGCTGCCAGGAGAGAAAAAGCCCCTACATAAATTGGCGACTCTGCTGGGGATTAAGCCACTATCTGCACCAATGCCTCCAAAGAAGAAGACCAGAAGCAATAAACCGGAGGAAATAAAGAGATAAGAGCATTCCCTCTTTCTTTTTCTTTTTCCTTTCGTTGGCTATCTACTTTGTAGAACAAACATAATATAGATTACTCACATGCTCCCTTTGCTTGTGTCTTAGATATCCATTCTCAAGCAAAACAATATCTTGTAAGAGGACTGGGGGCTTCAGCCAACGTGCAAGCCGCTGACCACCGTCGTCAATGGTTGAGGCTAGCTCTGCCGTTCACCTCTCCGCCATGATACATCATCAGCAAGTCTGGCCATCGCCGTAAATCACCTTCATAACAGCCCTCACCTCTCTAGAGTTGTGAAAACACGGTGAGAGAGGGAGAAGGAACACTTGCTCAATGCTCTCAGCCTCATCTCTGCAAATGGCTTCACCAAGATAAGATTTTTATTATCATGCCTTGTTGATCTCAATATAGCATATATATATTTGTTTGTTGTTTTAAGATATCCATAAAATTTATGTTTCATTGAACAAACTCAAGCATAGATAAAAGCATGTGCATTCAAGTCCAAAAAAAAAAAAAGATTGATTGATTAGTTGTTATTCATATGGTGCACCAGCTTGCATCATTTTCTTTATGTATTAAACCACCTTTCAATTTTGCATCTCTAGCAAAATTTCTCAGGGCCTTATTCCACGCACTATTCACTTATCTTACTTCTTATCATTTCGTATCGATCCACCTTTGTGTTAATCAATCCAAGTTACATATTGCAATGTAGATGCCAACTATACATGCTCAATACTAAAATCATACTTGCTCAGCATGCTTATGTCAATTATGTTAGTCATTTGCAAGCTACCAGGCTTATATTATTTTTTATGCTTTGATCATGCAGCATTATATCGGTCATGTGCATGGGACCCAAGCCTCCAAACAACAAGCAAGAAAACAAATGCTCTCATGTTTCCTACCCAACATCTCAACACACTGCCATTATCATCCATTCCTTAAGACAAATCTCTCTCTATACTTCCAGTCATAGAAGTTCAAGCACCACTAAAAGAGCCGCTGGAAGAGTGGAAGAAGAACAGAGCTAGTCAAAATCCAAACACCACTGCTGGAAGAGCCGCTGCCAGAAGCACATGCTACCACCGAATCATGCCAAACTGTCACCGTTGCAACAAAGGGATATCCCAAGTTCATCATGCCATGCAATGACCCAAACAAATACTAAGAAGGCCATGTTGCAAGAGTTTTTGTAGCCTATGCCCATCAAATCCTTTTCTGATGATTATGGTGCACTTGGGGGCTGAGGGAGGAATTCATTGCAATCACCACAGCAGCGATTCCAAAACCCCAAATGAGCTTAAAAATCCATTATTACCAAAACCACTATTCCCAGACCAAAAATCTCCTTGAAATCCCAATTATGTTACTATGACCTCCAAGTTCGCCATCACTTGTTGTTGTAACCCAACACATTTGCTGCAGTGACCACATACAAAGCTCAAGCTTCAATAGCCAAGTCCAAGCTTTTGGTTCCTAAAACATGTTCACAACAGCTGCAACAAACAATACCTAAGTTGCCATAACTGATATGCTCCAACGCCTCAAGCACTTTCTAAGCCTTGACCATTCCAATGACCAAGTTTAGGAGTCAAAACCAAAAGGCTATCGGGATGTCTCAATTGCCACAATTCCATAATCAAGCATCATCAAGCCCCGAGCCTTAGTCAAGAAATCCAAGCACTATGCTTTACTCAAGAAGGAAAACATCTCAATTCATGGCAAATGAAAGAAAAATATTGTGAAGGTAGTGCTATGATACTGCTGGAAGAACCTAAATGCTGTCAAGATGAAGTTTATTTTACCAAGCAATTAGAATTTTTGAAGCGATGTCAAGCTTTCAAGAAAAGGGGTGCTGGAAGCGTATTTTCCTATATTCATCCATTCTTCACCTGCAACATCCACCACCGCTTGCCATACTCTAAGGAAGATCTTACACGCCGAGATACATGACAAAACTCTAAGAGGCAAGCTATTGACAAGGACCCCTTGCCAAAACGAAGGGGAAAGTAGATGGCTACTGTCATTACGTGCTTTGATGACTTGCTCGACGATGACGTATTGTGCCACCTGTGGAAGAATGACCCAAAGCCACCGGAGGCTATGTGGGAACCTTGTGGAAATATGAAGAAGGCCAACTTAAGCAAATATTCAAAATCTGCAAGCTATAACACCCCATGGCTACTTGCTAATTGATGGGAGAATGGTTCCAGCAGCGAAGTATTCACATTGGACATGCTGGAAGAAAGCCACTCGGAGACTTCATTTGGTCATCAAGATTATCAAGAAGCAGCTGTTGTAACCTCTCATAACTTCACAGAGGTTGAAGAAAGTACAATGGGTCAGGAGCTGCAAATCACTCTTTGATTAGTTTGGTTATGAGCTGCAGGCAAGCAAAGCAGCAACTGTGGTTCTGTTAAATATCTCTACAGAGCATGGCATCCTAGTACAACACATGCCAAATACATGCCAACCTAAGCCACAAGCTTTCATGCTATTGCAAGTCATGCACAATCTTGGGCCCTTTCATACTTGGGGGCTTAATTTGATGGGGGTATTTATCAATGCAAAATGGCTCAAAGCCTTACTACTGAGTTGCTTTTGCACCTATCCTTTTGTTTTTGGCTTTTCAAATTTATTTCAAAGATGAACTCCTTTTGTGTTTTCACCATATGTTTTCACAACTTTGGTAGAATGCACCAGCATTATTGCATGCCAAGGCATAAAACGATATTTGCAAGGAGAATGGAGTATTTTGGAAAAAGAAAAAAAAGCCTCTAGAATTCTTCCTTGCTTTTACCTTATTCTGTTTTACAAAACATGTTCTTTGAAAAAAAAATAGACAAGCAAACTTCCCTTTTAAAAGCTAAGCCTTTTAGCAGTAACCATGCCAAGCAAAGACACTTGAATGGGGTCCCGAACCATCAACAAGCATCACGCTTAAGCAAAAATAGCATAAGGCACGAGAAACCAATCTATTCCAAAGAAGCACGCAATCTTGAGGTGCTGGAACAACATCTGGGAGTTTTATAAAACCTTGGTAAGAATCATGCACATGCTAGTCTGGCCCTTTTTAAGGAAGGCAAGAAGCTGCTTTTCAAACCCAGAGGCTAGATAAACCATGCAAAAGAAACTTTAGAAATTCCGCTCCTGTCAAAATTTTGGCAGCATATACCTTGTTTTTTAAGGATATCCAACCTGTCAGAAAATCTCAAACAGTTCACAAAGACGAGTTTTGCCAACCAAGCTGTATATATAAGATGTACGAATTACAACATGCCTCAAGCATTCAGAAATTAATGCAAGTTCCAGTGGTTCAGTAGTACATTACAAAGTCATAATGACATAGTCGTTAGATTATCTGAAAAGTACACAGCCATCGCAAAAACAAGGTTACACATGCTGGAGATTAGTACATCCTATGGTATCAAGAAAGATGGAAGCTGTGCACCATGCCAACTGACCCCAAGCCAAAGAAAACAACCTGCGAAATAAAAGGAGGCAGCACTGCTGGAAGGTGCAGGGCAGTGCCGGCAGCTATGTTGGATGTTCCGAGAAGAGGAGAAGTAGAAGGCAGCACGCTGGAAGATGCAAGGCAGCGCCGGCAGCTATGTCGGATGTTCTGAGAAAAGGATGAGTATGAGGCAGCACTGCTAGAAGGAGCAGGGCATTGTCTACCCCTGCATCGGATGTCCCAAGAACATAGGGGCTATGGGAATCATGCCGCCATGCGCTATTGCTAAAGCCAAGGGGAACACCTGCGCATGCAGACAATCTTGGGAAAAGTCACAGAGGAGGAATTTCCCGAACCATAATGATACAAACGCAGCAAGACGACACTGGCTCTTCGCCTACTGCAACATCTTCACAAGCATTCTTGAGAAATGGAGGGGGCCTTCCCCTCTTCAATTTATCATCCGTTGAATAAAGGTGGCCACTAATAATTGACAACGGGTTAGTGAATGCCATGGCAGGTCTTGACAAGCGATGAATCCCTGCAAGAATTGCCAACAAAGAATACGCTGAAAAAACGGCAAAGCATAAAGCTAGTTCTCTGTGTTAAAGCCAAGCAATCTCCACACTAGCATGCAAGCCCTATGAACTTTACAAGCCAAGCAAAGCAAGCTATCTCATGCCAAGCGAAATGCATAAAAAAAAAATATATATATATATTTTTGAAGCATCATGCAATCTATTACTCGAGCTCATGATGAGCAAATTTCCCATTCCATGCTCAATCAATCATTCCAGCAGACCCTTTTTCACAAAGCAAGTGCTACAAACTGAGCACTATTTACCTCATAGTAACCTTTTTCACAAAAACGAAATACCTACGAGTTACACATCCTTGCAGACCCATCATACACATGTTTATGTCTATCCCTATAAAGCCAAAAAAATAAACAGTTATCCATGACCAAATTCTAAGCTCATAAAGAAAAAAAAAGAAACCAATGGTGCTTTTCTCAAAGCTTTCAATAGCCTCTAATCCTATGCATTAATCATACGATTACAAGCATGCGCTCGTGATATAGTTCAACAACAAAAAAGCGGGTCAAGAACGCAGCACACGCAAAATATACGCCAAGTAGGGCAAGTCAAGCTCAGGCCAAAGGAAACACTTAAGCAAATACCCAAGCAGCATACAATTTATCCATGGCAAGCGAAATTTTCAAGCAATTCCCATGACAAGCAAATTCTCCCTCAAAATGCAAAAGGATTCAAGCATTGCAGAGCATGCACTCTGTCAATTTCTATTTCCACAACATGGGAGAAAAGTCCAAATTTATTCAAGCATGCGAAAAACAAGCCTAGGCCAAGATATCAGTCTATATCTATTCCTACAGAATTAAAAAGAAGGACCTGAGATTCCAGTGAACGAGCAAAGCCCATGGGCATGAAGAGCCCAACAAGCCCCTCGATAGATTCAAGAAATTGCAAAAAGGAAAGGGCATACCTTGTCAATCACCTCAAAGGACGACCTCAAATGCACCAAGAAAGAATGGAGGTTGGTGCTGGAAGAAGGGCAGTAGGTGCCGGGAGAAGGGTAGTTGGTGCTAAAAGAATATCGTATCTTCTATTTCACGTTACCATCTCCTTCATCACCATTGTTGATCTCATTGTTTATGCAACCAGCTGACCCATCATTGCAATTATCCCCATGTTTTTCTGTGCAGACTTTGGCACCATCATTATTTTCAGGCATACTTAAGAATTGATCTTTCTGAAGATGGATACTTCGGCAACTAATACTTGCAAGAACTTCTTCTCATGGCCATACGACACCTCCTGAAAAATCACAAGCTTTATTCATGCAATTGCATTACAGCAAAATTTAAAGCTTTTCAGACAAAACATCTTGCGAAAGGCTTATGGAGGCTTAAGAGAATCCATCATAGCAAACAACACATGCAAACTCCAAATGACTTGGGGGCTTCATGTCAAGCAAAAGATAGAGACAAGAATCCTGAAGCTGTTGTAAAATTCAATTTTCCTCTTGGAGGAAAGCAAACTGTTTGTTACTTATCTGGAGGAAAACAAGCTGTATGAATCTCTTCCAGCAACTCACTTAGCCTTTTCCTTCTCATCTTCAGTCTACTTCTTCCAAAAATCTTCTTTGAAGCAAGTTTACAAGCAGGCCTCTACTTTGTTTCTCGACCCTGAGTAAGCCAAAGAGAATATAACCCAACTCTTCAACCAATTGCTAACCTCAACAAGCTGACTTGAGGGCTTCATGCCAAGCAAATTCAAGGAAGTACACCATGCCATTCAAACAAGCAAACCCATCTACCTTTTTTGCCACACAGTATAAATCATCTCTTTGATTACAACAAGCCTAGATAATCTTGCATTATGGTGAGAAACAGTTTTCTACTTCCCCTTTTTGAAACAAGCCAAGTTACATTCTTCCAACTCCTACTCTACAAGCAAAGAATTTTTGGCGCTTGCCTTATTTCAAATCTTCTTAGCCCCTGTCCTATTTCAAACATCATGCTAGTAAAATTTATCCCACAGCAACAGTTCAACAAACTCATCACATCTTTGGAAGAAAACTCAAAACGGCCTCAAGAACTAGCTTGTTCTCTTTCTCACCCAAAGTCCCTCCGATCAAGCAATTCGAATCTTTCATAAACCTTCATATTGCAAGTCAAGATGAAAAACTCACCTTTATTCTATTAAGATCCCAGCAAATCAGTAAGAAGATGGCATTCCTCATGCTTTGGAACCTCTCAATCAAGCCTGAAAAAGAAACAAGGGAGTACGTTGGCCAGATCAGGTGTCGGAAGGGAACTAGTAAACAGAAAGGGGGTGCCAGAAGTAGAATCACTATTAAAGCATAATGTTTTCCAAAGACAAGTTGCAAGAGACCAAGACTCACTTTCATGCTATCAAAATCCTAGAAAATTAGACTTCTCATGCTTTATCATGCTTTGGAGCTTCTAAAACAAGAGAATACATTAGCCAAAATCAGACGCCGGAAAGGTACTCATATACAAATGAATGCGCCAGAAGGTGTGATACCAATTCACATACCAAGAAATTTCATTTCATTCAAGCATTCCAAGCAATTCGAGCATTTCAAGCAAATTGAAGAACTCATGCTCTTGCGACAATACCATTCCACTTCATGCTCTCACGACAATATTGCTCAACAACATGCTCTAGCAATACTCAGATCAGCACTCAATACCAACAGAAAGGACATGCTAAATTCCCAAGCAAAAGCAACATGCCAAGCAAAACTTATACACAAGCTTTCCAACCATCTTAGCTAGAATCAAGCTTACAACCAACAAATCCCAAACTTTCCAGATTAGAACTAGACATATCAAGCTTCATTTTCCCAAAATTTCGTTGCATTTCGAGCTAGGGAAGCATGTCAAACAAATTTCTAAGACAGCCCACACTGCAGAAACTGTACAGCTCCAGCACCTTAACCCTTACTTTGAAATTCCACCGAAAATTCATTTTTTCTTCAAGTGATGCAAGACCAATTCCAACATAACCATTGAGAAGTCCATTTTTATGTCTCAAAAGCTCCAACTCAGATTCGAAAAGAAACATTTCAAAAGTTCAAAAAGCAGCCAGCAAGCTACTTTGAGATATTTTGACAAGCACTTGGCATGCATACCCAAGTGAGCTTGTATAACTCTTGTTTATCACCAAGCTAGAATCCTAAATCAAAAGCTCAACCTTAGAATTCGATTTCTAGTTCACAAATTCTGGGAAATACAGAGGAACTCAAGCATCCAAGCATAGAAGACAAGCATGCAACAAAGGCATCAACATCAACTCATGAACATGCTTTAGAAAAATGGAGGTAGAGAGCACTAGAATGGGTGGATGATCCTCAATTTTGGATATGTTATAGACAACATAATTTCAAGCAAATTTTGTGAAGCAACCGCAATCATACGAGTATCATAAGTTAAAGACACATGCAGAAGAAAAATCTGCAAAAACTCACCAGCCATGGATGAATTCAGAAGTTGCAAACCAGCTTTGAGGTTTGGGTCTTGAAGAAGAAAGAAGAGAACGAGAGAAAATCAGAAAATAAAGCACATCATGCCAAGTTCAGCCTTTTTATATACAAAAAAGAGGTCAGAGCAAGATTAAAGTAAGAAGAGGAAAAGGTAGAAACCCATATCAACAGTTTTGTTCACACGGAAATTGGCACCCTTCCAGCAACTCGAGCAAATCAAAGAAAAGGGAATCCCAGAAGATTAGTGCAAGCCCTTCCTTGCTAGCACCCACGTTGTAAGCACTCACGTTGCTGCAATAACAAAATAGGTCAAAAGAGGGTTTGATGCTTGACAACCAAAACAAAGGGCAATATTCATGGATGAAGGGAACCCAACAAATTCCTCAATAAATCCAAGAGAAAGCTAGAGAAGTGACATACCTTGCTAAAATCCCAACAGGTGACTTTGAATATACCAAGAAGGGAGCGAAATTGAGAATCATAGAGGAAAACCCGCACAAAAAGGTCCCTTATAGCAACGGCAGAAGGGCTTCTTCGAAGGGAGAAGGGCTGAAGGGGTTGAAATCGACTTGGGCTCTTTTCCCAGCGGCTGGAGGCAGATGTTTTCCACTTGATCTTACTCTCTCACTCAGTTTTGAGCTGGGGGAACAAGGGAAAACGAAGAAAAGAAAAGTAGGAAGAAGTTGGATCTGGTGCAAGAAAAGGGAAGAGAAAGAAAGAAAATAATAAAAAAGAAAGGAGGAAGGTGTTTGGCATTGGGAAACTGCAAATAACCGCTGGGGCCAATTATGACACGTCGTCATTTTGCACGCGGGAAGAAGAGAAGTTCTCTACAAATACAAATCTGATTTTTTTTGGGTCGGGTTTAATTATTCGGCCCATTCCAGCACCTATCCTATTCCAAATATCCTTCCAGCACTTGTTATATTCCAAATATCCTTCCAGCACATGCCCTATTTCAAACATTCTACCAGCACATGCCCTATTTCAAGCATTCTTCCAATATCTAGCCATCATGTCGCACGATATCACCTTCATTGAAGTTTTGTCCTCTAAATTCAAAGTGTTCAGAGGCTGGTGCTGTAAAATCAAACACAATGGTGAATCCAAACTTATTGCATCCGCAACTCTAAGATTGGATCCCCACCATCCACTAGCACGTCCGGCTACTGTCAAATGACATCCACCATGCTAAATGTCCCAAAAGCCATATTAAGCCATGCTACCTTAGCCAAAACCAAGCATCCAAGCATGCAAGCCAAAATCAAGCATACACGCCAATACCAAGTATCAAGCCAAAATCAAGCATACATGCCAATGCTAAGCATCAAGCCAAATACCAAATATACAAGTCAAAGCAAATCATGCAAGCCAAAATCAAGCATACATAACTAATATTAGATACACAAGTCAATGCAACTCTTGCAAACCACAATCATGCAAAATCAAGCCTCTAGTCACTCAAGCAAATAAATCATGCGAGCTAAGTAGTTATCTTGAGCTAATCCACCAAGCATTTTCTTCTATATCATGCCACAAAATAAGGTCAACTCTTGGTAACTCTAGTAAGTGACCTCCAAAATTACAGTGTCTAGGAAAGTTCTTCAAGGCAACACCCTCGGTGTTTAAGAAGGATTGGGTTTTAAGCGGGACCATTGTGACCCCTCCAACCTTCCCGGAAAAGACCTGGCTGTAATTTCAGAGACTCTTAACCTGTTATCCTTGAGTTGCTCCTAAACCCATGCCATGCCATGCCACGGTAATTTATTTTGGGCTGAAAATTGATTATTCGGACCATTTCAATACACATTCATGGCCCCAATAATCAAGGGGGCTAATGTTGAGGCCCAAAATATTCACGGTTCGGCCCAAATAAATTCTCGGCCCAATGCGATGCTTTACCAAGAAGAAACCCGATTTGGGCATGCGAAAGTTCATCATATGCGCTTGCACACATGCCACGCCAAACGACACGCCACGCTAAGCAAGGAATTATCATTCCGCACCTAATCACGCCACAAGCTTAAGTGGGCCCCAAGCCACTCAAATACCCGGGGCTTGCTTGAGTGGGTTGTGGTATGGATGGTAATAAATTGTCATGAGGCCCATTGATGGACCAAGAAGTGGAGGTTCCGGGTTACTTGGGAGCCTCGGAACCCAAGCCCATTTCTTAGGCCCAAACATGTGGGTAAGCACAAGAGAGGAAATAGCCCAATTGCTTCAACTAGAGTAGCCCAACCAAAATAACCCATTACTTTAGATAGCCCATAAAGCCCAAATACTTGGTGAATTTAACCCACTTATTAGATGACTTGGCCTTCTATATTAAAGGGCCCATACCATTTGAATAAAAGGAGTCCAAGGCCTTCAGCACTTGGCTGAAGCAGAAGTCCACGAAGAAAGCCAAAGATTCACATGTGAGGGGCTGCTGGGGGAACAAGTTCCAAGTGCAAGCATTCAAGAAACCAAGGGGTATTAGCACGCAGGGGAAGATGCTATCCCTTAAACCAGCAGGTGCACCCATTTTTCTTTCCTTCATCAGATTTGGCCGTGAAAAGAGGAGGAAAGAAGAGAAAGAAGATGGGTGAAAATGGAAGCTCTCCTCTGAAGCTGTTGAAGCCTCGAGCTCCCAAAAATCCCTGATTTTGTGGGATTGGGCAGAACTGATTTTTGCCTCCATGAGGTAAGTCAAGCAAGAGGAGAAGAAAGGAAGAGGAAAGCTTAGCTAGATTGGAAAGAAACCATTAGGGTTTCTTGGAGAAGACCCATTCCCAGCAGCTATAAATAGGACCCCTTCTACCCAACACAAGACAACCCACAACCTTCAGAGAGCAAGCTTTCTCTCTCACATGCAAACCCAGGAATTTTCGTGCTATCCTTCCTCATTTTCCTTTATTTCCCCTGTTTTGGCAGATTGACAGAAGCTTTGACAGAGTCACTGTCAAGCTGCCGGAAACTGCGAAAGTCACCCAAAACTCTTCACCATCCTTCTCCCTCTTCATCAAAACTCCTTAGAGCCTCTCTCCCTCTCCATTAGAACCTCTGTACCTCATAGGAACCCACAGATCTCTCTCTCCTAAAGTGCTAAACTCATGATAATTTTTGCTCCCATGCCATAAGTCACTCATGCCAAGCTAGAATATTTATTTGTAATTTGTTGTCATTTTCATTGGTGAAGGTAACCAAGGAGTTTCCTAAGGCGTCATCACCCTTTCGAGACATCCTTGGGGCTTGATCTTCGAACTCAGACACAAGGGGACACTTGCATCAGATTGCTCTTTACAGCGGCCCAGCCCACTTGCTGCCAGGAGAGAAAAAGCCCCTACACACATTTTAATTACAGCTTTTATTAAATTCTATAGTTAAGGTGTGAATCATGTCTTAATCCAAAAATACGTAAATCCGTGGATTGGGGCGTGATAGGAAGATTTATTGTGCTAAACTGTATTAGTTTTAGTTTAATCTTCCTTGTGCTTGTTGTACTATGTTCTTGGCCTTTTCAACTCATGTAGTCATTGTTTTTCCTTCCCCTTTTTGGGGTGCCACTTCAAGCGCACACACTACCAAAGCTTAGACATTACCATTATTTGCAAAACTGTTCGAAGCATCAAACTATAATGTAAAACATGAAGAGAAGATGAACTTAGGATTTTGTGGGTGTGGAATGGTGAGTGGATAAAGTTGTTATTAATTTTTGGCTTAATTATGTACATGCCCCTTGTGCTTTCCAACTTATCTCAGATTACCACCTGTGGTGGAAAACGTCTCAAAGTACCCCCCAACGTGCAAAAAACCGTCTCACGTTACCCTTTCCGTCAGTTTTTTGAAGTTCCGTTACGAATGTTACTGTTCATCTCCCCCAAAATTCCAGAACAGTAGCCCCTCCCCTTTGTTACTGTTCATCGCTTATTTACCCTCCAAAACTCAGAAATTTCTCCTAACCAACACAACTAGCAGCAAGAACAACTCGAGAGGTTGAAAAATCATACCTGGATCGAAGAAAATGGTGCTCGGAATCGCCCGAACGAGCAATGGAGATTTTGGGTAAAAACCGGCCAATTTCTTGCTTTTTTCGGTGATCCAGACGACGGTTGGCAGCGGCTGAGATGTGAGGGTGGTAGAGGACAACGTGCTGGTTCTTTTGATATCCATGTCGTCGCTTGGGGTGGCCGGAGGAGGCGATGGCAGCCCAAAAACTGGTGCGATGAACAGTAACAAATGGGAGGAGCTGCTGTTCTGGAATTTTGGGGGAGATGAACAGTAACGTTCGTAACGGAACTTCAAAAAAACTGACGGAAAGGGTAACGTGAGACAGTTTTTTGCACGTTGGGGGGTACTTTGAGACGTTTTCCATCACAGGTGGTAATCTGAGATAAGTTGGAAAGCACAGGGGGCATGTACATAATTAAGCCTTAATTTTTTGGCAAAAGTTTACTACTTTGGTCCTTGTATTTTCAATTTTGTCAATTTTATTTTTGTAGTTTCTTTTCTTTTAGTCGAAGGATGAAATTTCATTACGAAAAACTCACCTAAGAGGATGGTACAAATACAGCAATACAAGGAAGCACAAATCTAATTTGTAATATCAGATGAACATGAGCAACATACTGCCTGAGATAATGATATCAACAAATAAACAAAACTAAAAATTGATAAAAACTAACAAGATTAAAAACAACATAGCAACAAAAACCACAGAAAAGAACAAACACCACCAAACAGCCACCATAAACCAACAACACTCAAGGCAACCCCAAGGCAAAACAAACAGAACCATCAGGACAGAAAGGAGGTGGTGCGAGCATCCGAGCAGTAGCAGTGTTGTGGCTCTACACACCTTCCAAGATAATCGTGAGAAATCGCTTTGTTGGTTATCTGCTACCACAAAGGAAAGCAGGAACCGATTGGAGAACAACCAAGGGATAACACTGATTGGAATGGAATGGTAGAGATTTGGGGGAGCAATAAAGATAGGAGGCATAAAACCCCAGCAAAGAGGCAAGAAGCCTAGAGGCATGAAGCCCAAAAACGAGCAGGAGAGCTTGAGCACGAATTGTGAAAGAAAATAAAAAACCAGGGAAGAGAGATGAGGGGAGGAGTAGAGACCTCCTCCCCCACAAGGAGGAGATGCGGTGCTGGATTTGGAGAGCCCAAGTTTTGCTAGGTCGCGGCGCTCTCACAAGTTAGTTGTCCATGTTCCCTAAATTTTGTAATTTGTTATGTTGTGTTGTGTTTATTTATTTTTGTAGTAAATTCAAGGACACGTTTCAATTTCTGTCAAACTCCTCCAAATTTCGTTCAGTTTTGACCACTTACCCCTCACGAGGAGGTTCACTTGAGCCATATAACAATAAAACACAATCTGGAGGTGTTCCAATTCATTTTAGGAGCGATTTTGGAGCTTAAGGTTCCCCAAAAAAATTACATATATGGGTTGAAATTTGGGCAAATTGGAAGGAATTGGAAGAAATTTGACCCAAGTTGACCAAAATACCCCTCTACGTGAGTGGCACGTGATAAAAAATTCAGAACTTACCAAAATTGAAAGGAATTTTGACAAAAATTGAAATGTGTCCTTAAATTGCTTTGCAAGGATAAAATTGACAACTACAAGGATAAAAATGAAAATTTTAAAACTACAGGGATCCAAGTGGTAAAACTGACAAACTAAAGGGACTACATCTACAAATGGTTTTTTGCCTATTTTATTTATTTATTAAATTGTGGTTAGGAAATGGGAAAAAAAATTTAAAGAAGGGATTATTTTATTTATTTATTTATATATTTCTTGTAAATGAGCGGACGCAGTGGTATTTTAGTAATTTGAAGGCATAGGCAAGTGCAGGCCCCAGTGAGCATCAAAACCCTAAACACTCTAAAACCCTAAGCCATTCGTTGTATTGGAAAGCCACCCTTCCCGCAAAAGCAACACTCAGAGCTTCTCATTCCTTCATCAGCGAAAAATCATGCGTCCTCCAAGAGGCGGCGGTGGGTTTAGGGGCAGCCGCGGTGGTGGCGGCGGCTTTAGAGGCGGCCGCGGAGGAGGGTGGGCCGTGGTGGAGGTGGACGTGGCTACCGCGATGAGGGTCCTCCTTCTGAAGTCGTAGGTCTGTTCATTATTCTTTCTCAGCTTTTCTTCACCTTGTTGGGTTTTCGATGAAAGGAAAAATCCCATTTGGTAATTGTTTCTGTTTCTTCTGTTTAATGGGGATTTAGGTTTTCCCTGAAGGTTTCAACTTTGTTTTTATCATATATTTTGGTTTTATGGCTGTCAAGTTTGTTGAGAAATAATCTGTTAGTTAGAACTTGAGTTGGTGGAAATATGTTTCAGTTACTGTAAAAGAAAAAGAAAAAAAAATTGGTTTGGTGCTACAGTTTGAGTATTATTAGGGTGTCAATATAGTTATTTTTGTTTTTCAAGTCACTAATTAACGTGTTAGATCTCTGATTTATATGTCTTCCTGGTTTTTACTCGGAAAGCAAATAGAGATATGTTAGAAAATCTGTTTCTTTTTCTTACTAGATGATTTGTTGATTGTTGAGACTTGTAATGATACCTTTTGGGTGTGCAGAGGTTTCGACATTTCTTCATGCGTGTGAAGGTGACGCAGTCACAAAGCTCACAAATGCGAAGAAGGTGCCCTATTTTAATGCCCCTATCTATCTGCAGAACATGACTCAGATAGGGAAGGTTGATGAAATATTTGGTCCAATCAATGAATCTGTGAGTCCTCTTGTGCGCCTTTATGATGCCAACTCCTTGTAGCTTGTGTTTAGTACTGACATGTACTATGGTGTTTTGTGTTGCAATTGTAGTTATTCTCGATTAAAGTGATGGAAGGCATTGTGGCAACTTCATATTCACAGGGCGATAAGTTCTATATTGACCCAGCAAAGCTTCTTCCTCTTGAAAGATTTCTTCCACAGCCAAAGTATGCTTTACTTCTGCATTATTTAGATTGCATTGTCTTATTTGAGTTGAAATAATGATAAGGTTCATTTGTTTGCTCTACTCTACAACGCATGCCTTGTGATGAACAACTGCAAAGCCTATATCATTCCATATCACTGTCTGCCCTTATTCCAATGTGGTTATTATCAAGAAGTTGGCAGGGGATGGGGATTTATGCTAATGTAATCTCAAGTTTGATGTCCTAAGTTTTTATTTTAGTGTGACAGTATGATTCGTGCTTTGATTAGGATGACAAAGTCAGTCTTCTATACTGTCAACTTGAGGTCAGGCTTTGGTTTCAAGCTAATAGGACAAGCAAAAAGCTAATCTCTCTAGCTTACTCCTGGTCACATTGCTGGACCAAGTACTACTTGTTAGAGATGTTCCATGGGTTCTTTGAGCACGTTCTCAATGAACTCTTTATTTTTTGGCCTATCTTCAACTGTTCTGTTTGATAACAGCAGGAGTTGGTTGATAAAATGTGTTTTTATAAGGTTTATCTAGAAGCTAATTTTATGGCTGATCCATGGCTCATTTTGGTCACTCTTATCGATTCCCTTTGTGGGTTAGCTTCATTGTCGATTTTAGTGATATGGTTTTAATTATTTTTGATCTTATCAGTTATTGTCATTAGTTCTCTCCTCAAAAAGTAAATCCTCATCTACCAGTGAGTGTGGTTTTGTGTTGTCATTTGTATTTAGTAGCATACAAAAGGTCTTCATCCAATCCTCGTCTATATTAGTTGTCATATTATTCTCTTGATGCATGAATCCATGCTTGTGAGTGACACTTGAAGCATCTTAAAACATGTCTTTTTCATTCAAAGAATTTAAATGGATGGTTTTGTTGCAGGGGACAGAAACCAGCTTTTTCTCGAGGTGGAGGCCGTGGTGGAGGCAGAGGTGGTAGTTTTCGTGGTGGTGGCCGTGGAGGTGGTGGTTTTCGTGGAAGGGGTGCACCAAGGGGCGGCAGAGGCCCCCCAAGGGGTGGTAGCCGTGGTGGTGGCTTCAGGGGCAGAGGGAGATTTTAGAATAGCATTTTGTAATATTTCTAGTGCCCCATTTTGCGTGGTCATTTCAGGATGCGCACTTGGGGCTCACAAAAATCACGTTATATGCTGATTTTGGTGTTGACATGTGGTTAATGGATTATTTATTTTACTGCGTATTGTAGTTTTATCCTAGCTGCAATCTGGACTTGAGTGGAGATTTAATCATAGATGTTTATTCTGAATTTATAAAATCTGTTTTGAAAAAGTGCCTGGATAATGGATCTCATCCAGGCTTTGGTACCATTTGTTATGTTGTGAAATACTCAAATCCTCATTGAGTATTGTCTATGTCCGCCAACATCAAATACCCGAAGGACCAACGTCTTCTCTAGTCATTTCCATCAAGCTTTTGAACTCTACAAAGTCAGTGTAAGAGCTTTATTTCTTTGCTTCTTTCATTTAACCTCCATTGGTATCGCTTCTAGGCCTCTACTAATATTGGTTAAAGTTTGACAATCATAGTCAAACCATCGTCTCCCGAAGTGTTTGTTTTGGTAATTTTTTTCTTAATCAAAGTGTTCAAGATTTGCTTCAATCCTTCGGTTTCAGTTAACTTTCGTTTTTCCTGGTTTATGCCCATTATGCTTTACAAATTCTCTCATCCCTTAGAACTATGGGATGAAATACGAAGTGCTTTTTTGCGAGACAAAGAAATACCAACTTAACCAAACATACATGTAATGTAAAATCTTCAGGTGGTATTAGATTGGTGGAATGGGAAGGAATAGAACCGGAAGGAAATCAAAATTCATGGGATGTTTGTTTACTTATCAATTGTTTGGTTGAAAATAAATGGAATCAATAGCGGCATAGGCTAGAGAGATAGATTACTATCCAGCCTAAAAGGGATGAATATGATGATCCCAAAAACTATGAGAACCAACTTTTAAAGCAAGCCATCAAACCAGACTAACCAACAAACACAGGAATTAACCTTCATAAATTTATATGTATATTCAAGCATAACAATCTTGTCCCTTGTCTCATTTTTACCGCAAGACCCCATGACCAATTGTACACCTTACCATGTAACTCGTTGGTTAAAAAAAAAGGGTGATGTTTTCATCCACCATTAACAGAAGCTCTAAAATGCAAACAGGACCGACTCACATATACAGATTCACCATTTCATTTAAAAGAAGGCAACCGTGAAGAATTAAGCAATGGGAACAGATGAAGAATCAGAACTTCCATTCTCAAGCAATCATTTATAGAGTACTTGAACACTAAAAAAAAAACCATAAAGAGAAAAAAGAAAAATGAAACACACAAGAGTTCTAGCAGTGCCTCAAAAATTCATAATTCAGGGTATGAATTCCTAGAGGCTCATGGTGCCTGGAGACATAACACCAAGAAGGACAATTAACTTCACTGCTGCTGCTCAGCCTGAGGCTTGGGTGCTGCTTCCTTGATCTCATCTGCTCCGTCATCCTAAACGCATGCAAACAAATGATATAAATAATCAACAATTAAATAAATAAAAAGTACAAAAGCATGAACACACATGTATTTGTGGGTGTAGACCGATTGATATATAGGGACCAACCTGCATATCTGAAGTCCACAATGTGAGATTATCACGAAGAAGTTGCATTATCAAAGTGCTATCCTTGTACGAATCCTCTCCCAGTGTATCCAGCTCTGCAATGGCTTCATCAAAAGCCTAGTTGAAACATAAAAAGGAAACAAAAAAAAATTAGAAAACATGAAACCAAAATGAGAAATCTTTTAAGAAAGCACGGGAAAGAACATATAATCAATAGTTCTACAAGAAAATATATATAACTGATAATCCAGATCAGCAGAAACAAATTCTTGAAAATAAAATGGCAATAAAGATGAATAATCACTTTGATGCACAAAATAGCAGGCAATAAAGATAAAGATGAAATAAAACAGTCCTAAGTCCCTTTATCTTATCTGCGAGGTTTGAAGCATTAAACATTACGAACACAGTCAAATTACTAATAAGCATGCTGACATGAATTGAATAACCTGTGTCTGGCATTTGGCAAGCAGATAATGGTCTCTGCATATACAGTCAGCATCACAAGTTTGGCTACAACTCTTAACAATGAGGGGGAAAAAACACATTTCTGAGTTTGTTGTGTGCGTGAAAGAGAGAGGGAAGAGTGAAGAGATGTCAAAGGAGGGATGAGCTAGAACTGCAAATTTGTGAGCTCTGAGAAGGCAAAAATACAGAGCCTTATCTTTTTGTGGCAAGCATTTGTTTTCTTAGAAGTAGGCAAGTCAAAATACGTGAGAAAAATAAAACACATTTTGGAGACATCATCACAAGGCCTAGTTTCTTTTTGTGCGTTCAAATTCCAGAGATTCATTACATTCACCCCAATAACATAATATCAAACACAACATTACTCTATTGGGGGGAAATAGAAATATACCAACAGAGTAAAACATATGATTCGGAAGTAGGATTCTTAGCACTTATTCATAAAGAATTTCCTCACCTGCTTGGCAAGATTGCAAGCCCGATCGGGAGAATTTAAAATCTCGTAGTAAAACACAGAGAAGTTCAAAGCCAATCCTAAACGGATGGGATGAGTTGGAGCCAGCTCTGAGTTCGCAATATCCTGCAAACAGAGTATTATAACAAACATGGGAAATATCATATCAACAGATGAACAGAATGAATTTAAAATGTTGTAACCTCAAAGCATGAATAACACAGTAACATATATCTTTAATTGACAAGAAAAATCTTGTGATTCAAAATTAACTAGAATAAACAGATTTCCACAGGTTGGCCTTAACTAATACCATTTGGAATTAAGCACATGAAAAAGAAATATCACTTGATTTCCCTATTCCCATGGTCACAAAGAAAAACCATTACCAATAGAATCATTTACCAATCAAATAATCAATTCCAAAATCATGGACACCAAAAGATTGCAGAAATGATCTCTGAAACCAGCGCTGATAAGCAAGCAGTGAACATATCCTCAACCAAATCAAGCCTTGGTACCCATTTTTCAATTATTCCCAACCAAACAAATGAAAATTCGATCTAATAAATTCACCAGAAACAACCAAACAAGGGGATGCATAATATACAACCATATTTACAAAAGTATTCAAATTTGAAGAAAAAAATCCACAATTTATATTATAAATAACCACAAAGAGCAACCAAATGAAATCAAAATCAAACCAAACCTGAGCAGCCTTATAGGCATTGAGGGTATTCTCAGCAGCCTCCTTACGCTCATTTCCAGTCTTGAATTCAGCCAAATACCTATGGTAATCTCCCTTCATCTTCAGATAAAACACCTTGGAATCGCCGACGTTGGCCGACGGCACGAGCTTGGAGTCAAGAAGCTTGAGAATCCCACCGCAGATGTTAGAGAGCTCGTTCTCGATCCGTGCCCTGTAGTCCTTGATGGTGGCCACGTGATCGCTGTTGCCACGGCTCTCCTCCTTCTGCTCGATCGACGACACGATGCGCCACGAGGCACGGCGAGCGCCGATCACGTTCTTATAGGCGACGGAGAGGAGGTTGCGCTCTTCGACTGTGGGTTCTTCGCCTTCGGGGACGGAGGAGACGACCTTCTCCATGAACTCCACCATCTCCTCGTAGCGCTCGGCTTGCTCGGCCAGCTTCGCCACGTATACGTTCTCTTCGCGTGGGGACTGGGTCGCCATTGATGGGGTTCGAAAATGGAATTCAAGAAACTGGATTTGGGGATTTGGGGATTTTGAACGAGAGAGAGAGAGGACAAGAAGAGAGAGAAAGGAAGGGTAGACGAGACTCGCTTATATAGGTGTGTATATATAATATATAATATATATATATTTTTTTAAATTTTAACTTGAGGTACTTATACTTGAATCACGAAGGATAGACACAGATATCATGGGGTTTGAATTCAAGACTTTGAAATGGCAATTGGGCCGGTTTGGGGCCAAGGATGGCAATACTAGCCTTGTACCCGCTTCCCATCTTAGCCCCTATCCTCGGTAAAAAGATTTCGAGGAATCCTGGTCCCCGTCAAGGGCTAACTCCCAAACACGCTGCCAGGTTTTTCATTCAAAAAATATTTATCCTATATTATAACACTTAAATTTCATCTTAAATTATCATTCAATTAAATTATAAATTTCAATTCAACAACTCAAAATAATCTCAATTCATATAACAAAATGCAAGAAATATTAGATTATATCATAACCATACATGACTATTTTATATATAAATAAAAAATAAATATGTTACTTATCGAGCTAGATATGGAGATGGGGATAACAATACCATCCCCATCTCATCCCCTACCGAGGAGTTTTAAAATTTGAGGATCCTCGTACTTACCCCTGATTTTCCCCTTTAATTTCTCTCCTTAGGGTTGGGGACCCGACACGATGGGGATTTACGTCATCCATATCAGGACCACTTGGGAGCATATTAAGGGTCTTGACCAATCCTACTTACACTCCATTGGTGAAGTGCTTTTATTTTTTTTTATTATCATTAAATTACTCGAACACCACTGTATTGTTTAATTTTTGCTTTGCTGTTTTGAAGTTTATCGAATTTTAATATTGATGACATATTTATTAATTCATAGTGGTCATGTATTTAGTTCTCATGGAGAAAGACTTCTATGTAACGAGGATATCACTATTTAATTTTGCTGTCCTGACCAATAGCGCTACACACTCATGATAACACTTCTACGTGGCATAACATTATTGATTGGTGATAACATAATGGGGGACCCTGTTGCAACTATGTTTTTCTCCACATGAAGGAATGAAAATACAAGCTTGCTCACACATGATTTTGAAGGAATGAGACTCTTGATGGGAGGTGGTATTATGATTTTGGAGAACGAATCCATTAGGAATTCATCTTTTTTACCTAATATATCCCACACAAATTTTAAAATTTCAAGTTTTCCATCCGATAAAACCCAACAAAAATTTGCTATAAAATAATTTATCTAGAACAAGGGAATTTTAATAATAAAATTGGTTTCAATTCCAATTCAGGGAATTTAATAAACAACTTATAATAAACAACTTCAATAGAAATCCAAATTTTGACTCCTCAATCCATAATAGCCTTGTTGCTAATTCCGTCGGTGGCGTCGCGGTTGTCTTGGTCGTCGGTGATAATCAACATATATAGGAAGCTGTTTGTGACATGATTTGAGGGGCCGCGGCTTCTGATCCAAAGCTACAGATCGCCAATGCTTGCAAACTGTGCCAAACCGGATATTGTCGGAGGCTGATGTCAACTTTTCTAGTATCAAATGTAGAACGTGGCTTGGGGGCCATTCTGAATCTAAGGTTGATGATATTGCCTCTGCCATACGTAGTGCTCGTTAATTTCCTCACACTAAAAAACTCAATCTTCTCCCTTCTCTGTTCAAAACACGCCAACAATTAGTACTGGTACGTATTTGCAGGCTTTGACACTTTATTTATATACAATCCCCCAACAATCCTAAACAGCGTAGGAAACTATCAAATAAAGCATCTCAACCCTAGTTTCCCTAGAAATAACCCTAATCCTAAACCTTGTAGGAAAAGGAAACTAGCATGTCACGTGTTACAGATTTAATTTGTATATTATTTGCTGCCAATTATAAGTTAAGCCCATCTGTGATATTTAATAAATGTTAATTTTATTTAAATTGTACGTACAAAAGTGATCATGTAATGTGACAGTTGATGTGATCATGTCATATCAATAATTGACGCACACAAAACAAAAGGCGTATATGTGAAACATGACTTGATCACCAAGCAATTTGACCCTAGAGAGAGAAGGGGAACAACGACAACATCTCTTAGAAAGAAATATTTAGACACAACGTCTCTCAGTCAACTTCGATCTCACAAGGCTAATTGCTTTAATTTGTGGCTAGAAAGGAAGAAAATTTTTGCTTTAGTCATGCAATTGCCTTTTCAAATCCATTAAGACTTTTTTTTTCAATTTTTTAGAACATTTCCTATGGAGATGGGCGATAATACACTAAACTCACATACACAATACGAATGCTAGAACTTGAACCCAGGACCTTACTTGGATGAGCAATTATTTCAAACCACTACACTAATAGGTCCTTTGCCAAATCCATTCGTCTTAAAAGTGTTCTTTTAAAAGCTATTTTTCTTGGCGTTAAACTTGACATTTCAAGTGGGAAATCTTTTAAAATGGAACCAAGGTGCATAATTTTATCCAGTGTGTTTTCAGTGTTTGCTGCTGCCAGTGCCACAGTTTCTTCTATAGCATTGGAAACTTGAAAATAAAAAAAGTGCACACAGGCATGTTGCCAAGAGCCATAACTCTGCCTCACTAGGCATATCGTCCATACGTCTACTACAGATTCTGAGAAATTGAAAAACTCTCTATGAGAATCCCAACCTTGCGATGTTTATTTTAGGGACCATTCTCGGTAACACGAGTCCAGCAGCCAATGCAGCTCCAAATAAAGAATGCAACCTCACACAGTAATACTTTGCCATGAATATTTTATGTTTGTCCTGCAAGAAAAAGGAAATTCATGTAAGCAAATCTGAAATCAGTTTAAGGGGCAGTTGTAAGATGTATGTATTCCTTTAATTTCAGATTTAAGGTCATATTTTCGCCAGCCCCAAGCTCGTTAGTGCACTGTTCAAACAGGTCCAGTTTCCAACTAATCATGGTGCAAAACAAACATATTGTGTCATTCCTGTCGCTTCAGAGACAAGAGAGTGAAGTGACACGAATGACACTGTTCCCTATTTTTCAGTAACTGCATCTTCATGCACCTTTGTATGCAGTAGGAAGCATATACCAGTGAGAACAGAATGAAGAGCAATTTAAATTCTATGCATATGTCGGACAAATTTTCTTTTTGCCATTGTTCTACACAAGTTTAGTACTTACATTGTGGTTTTCTTCAACATAGCTAACCACCAGTCTTGCAATTGGCAAGGTCAGGGCACATAGAAACTGAAAGAAGCCATCCTCAAACTCAGACGGATGTATAGAATAGAAACAGGCAGAAATGATAGTAAGAAACCTCAATTTCAGTCCCCACCAATAAGCATATAATTTAATAGTTACATATAACTTACAATACAAGTAAAAGGAAGAGCGCTGCTTAGACCAAAGGTGAAAGTGAGAACATAGAGTCCTATAACTGCCAACTTCACTACCACTAATCCTCTTTTCGTGCCAAGCCTAACCTGTATACCAATGCAAATACAAATAAAACAATCAGACCGACGGAACATGATCTCATTAAGGTTTAAACATATCAGGGCTCAGTTAAGTGTATGTACCAGAGGGGACATTTTTCCTACAGCCCTGTCTCCTTCAATCTGAGTGGTATGACATTCATGTCAGCTATGTATCTGAAATACAATAAGCCAAGATTTCTCGAAATAGAGAAATGAAAACTACCTGATGAAAGTGACTACAGAACAGGATTAAGGCTGTTGTTATGCCAATAAGGAGTGAAGCAGAAAGAATTGAACCAGTAAAGGGAAGATGGATCATTTCCCTGCCAAGACAGCCAATATTAATTATCTAAGACTCGCAAAACTTAAATTCAAAACCGCGGCAATTTGGTCAAGTTATTTAACCTTGTGCTTCCCTGCAATAAATAAAAAGCTGTAGTAGCGAATGGACCAAATGCTGCAAAGCACAACGGCTCTCCTAATCCTTGGTAACTTAACCGAAATGGTGGACACTGCAACTCAGCATTAGAACAGGTGTAAAAAGATGTTGTTTCCGATGCATAGTTGGGAGAAGTTACGACTGGCCACGAAGCAAGCCATTATGAACAATCAAATTCATTTTGCATTGAATGATTGAAAAGAAAAATATAGACAACAAAAAAAGAGAAAACATTCAACATCAATAAGATAATAACTTGGAAGTGGTACTGGTACCAATGTTGAAATTGGTCACATTGCCAACATTTGGTTGCATAAACATTCAACAAGCATTCAGCACGAGAAAAAAATGTAGATCACTTTATATTTTGACTACATTTTTTGTGTTTAATCACACAAAGATAACATGCATTTCTTTAACATTACCAAACATGCTCAGAAAATTCAGCCTGTTATCAATAATGCACTAAATAAATTAGCTTCTACAGTTAAGTTGCTATTAATCACAGAGCTTAATTCGACACAGAAACAATGCATAGCCTCATCAACACAGCAATTAATTCAACTCTGACTCGAGGGGACGAGCTTTTTCCTTTCCTTCTTTTTCTTATGTGCGTGCGCGAGTGCATGCTCGCATGATCCCCCTATGAGTTTTATAAGGAGAGTGCTTTTCTAGCCACATTCTCAAGCGTTGCAGCTCCCCGATCGGTTAAGGTAAAAAGTGTTCAGTCCTTAATCAGATCCTTTTGTTATCATCTAAGGTTTTGTTATTTCCATAGCTACCAAAATAAGGATCTCAAATTACAGGAGCAATATAAGAGAACTCTCTCTGCCATATTTTGGCCTGAAGAGAACTCTCTCTTTTAAAATTGTCAATTTCCAAAAGATTGCCTCCAAACCCTAACAACTCCATATCTTAAATAACTACAAAGCAACAAAAAATAGGGGAAATACCAAGAATAGTAAGACTCCAAATACAGCCAACGATTACTCCTATGTATTATGCTTCTGTGAGTGTTGCATCACTATCCAAGATTGATTTTGAGAAATATTTTTTTTTTTTTTTTTTTTTTTTTTTTTTTTTTTTTAGATTTTAATTCATCTCATACGCATCATTCTACATACCTGATATATATAACCACACATGATTGCACAAGCGAGTAATAATATTGCACGCATATTTCCTGCCTCAAAAGATACCCAAGCAAGCCCCAAAAAGCCAAGAGCAAGTAACAAGTAGGCAGCAACAAGAGTGCCTGTACGGCTTACGGAGCACATTACCAAACAAAATAGGCAATTAATATTGGACATGACAACACAAGATTGGGGAGAAAAACAGACAAACTAAATTCACTAATATAGAAGGAAGAAAAATAAAATTTACCTGCCCACTAGATTTACAACTGATTCTTTCTTATCTTTATCAGCTCCTGTATCGAAATCGTAAACATCATTGCTGCAAGTTGACAAATACGAGAATTTAGTCCAGAAGAAAGGAGTAAACACATTTATGATATCAAGATAATGAGCAGTCTGCCAATGGTGGACATCTTAGAGTGCAACAAAATCATATGGAGAAACTCATAACCTGAGCGTCTAGTTAGTGATCTTCATGTTTTAGGCCAACACACTTTTCATCCTAAGGATATGATATCTACCCATCTAGGCCGTAGGGAGGAAAGTTATCATGCTAAGGATATGATATCTACAATGTCTCAAGAAAGCTTATATGAACATATGCATTTTGTGAAATGGACTCTGTATGGCCTTTCCACTACATCAACCTGCCATGCAAGTATGCATCCCCAAAACATAGTATGCTTGTGTGGTTGATGTAGGAAAATTTGGTCCATCACAAAAGAACTAACTCATGAAATATAATTTGTCAATTTCAGATCTATGGTCAAGCTTGCTTAGATTCAAGTTATACTCAAACTTCTCTGGGAAATATTTACTAATGTATACCTTAGGTTGAGCCATGTGATGATAAGAACCGAGGAAACCAAAAGAACAGAATAATGCCAAGCTGAAAACATGCCTGTCTGTAAATAAGCAGCTGCACTACCTACCTATTTAAGAAAGCAGTCAGTGAAGATAGTCAGCATGAGGCAAGGAAGTGTATATCATTCAGAGCATATTGAAGAAAGCGAAAAGTGTAAAAGAAATGACTGCATTACATTAAAAGCAACAGAAACAAAATTGTAAGTCAAAGGTTATACGTGTCTGTAAGAGACTCAAGAGAGAAGGAGCTATGCCACTAAGCACCCTAAGGAGTGCTATACTTCAAACTTAAGAGGAAGTGATGAAAGCGAGGACATAATATATTCATGAGTTAAACCTGAAAGATTGTAATTTATGCCCATAGAATGAAACATTCTGGTGGAACTTAGTCCCTTATGTGCTGTTATCATACATGTACATGCTCATTCGATGTCTCAGCCACAGTAAAAAAGAAGAAGAAGAAGTTATGATATATACATCTGTTCCAGATAATTCTTAAATGATCTGTTTTCCTTTTTTGCTAGTTCTACGGCTGACAACTGAAAATTTGGATTCACTCCCAAACCAATGTTCGAGAGTTCATCTTCTTTGAATAGGATTTCTTAAGTCACAATATTTTCCCTATATTGATAGGCTTTCTAAATTTTCATGAAGTGTTTCTCAACATCTGCAAGAAGTATTAGACTGGCCTTCTATTTGGCAAACACAGTATGACCGTATCGATGAATACTATATAAAACAAGAGAAAAAAAGTCAGTATTTATTTACCCTTTTTTCTTTCATATGCATAGAAATCCTTCACAAAGAGCACTGGCTATCTTATCAGAATTTGGACTACCAAACAATGAACAAGAGTTCCATTTTCCAGTTACGAAAACTATTCACTTTAACTTTATACTGTCCCTTTAGCAGCCAGAATCTCAATGTAGTGCCCTTAGTTGAAATGATAGCCAATGTATCCTAAAACACATATTTTGAGGCACATTATTGGAATATTGCACTATCAAACATGGCACGTGCATATAGAGAAAGAACGATGGATATTCAACTGTTGTGGTTCTACGAACACACACACATATATATTTATATATACAGAACAAAGGGTTCACTTGATCAAGAATGCATCATATGAACCTGACAATCGTGCTCTTTATGAATCTTAGTAGAAACAGAGCTTTATGCATTAAAAGGACTCACAGTGAGAGGAACCAATGCAACGGAGTATATTGGTAACTTTACTGCCCTCCATATCAAGGTTGCTTTAGAAATAGGCTCATCTTTATTCTCTTCATGGATAGTGTTAGAATAGCCCGCCTTATTGTTGACAAAAGCCTGTCCACAATATTGCCACTGTCTGGCCTCTAATTTTTTTCTACAAACCCTATGGAAAACTCTTTGAGCATTACAGGAGAAACAGGACAATCTTCCATAGCCTCCATAAGACCTGAGATATGAGAAATGTCAGTAATTGGATAACGAGATAACATCAGACACGTCAGTGATTCGTATTACATTACATCCAAATTAAGCTGAATTGCTATTTTCAGTTAGGTTCAAAAGAAACTAATAAGCAAATTCTAATATCAACTTCTTAAAGACAAAAATCTTAACTATCATAGCAAGAAAAAGGGAAAAACAGATTCACAAAAAAAAGCTTATTATCTTTTCACCCAGACTCAGAAATCACAAAAACCAAGCACCCAAATTGCAGAAAAGTAATTGTATTGGAACTTGCCTTTTGGAGACTATCTGCTTCAGGTGGTACTCATTTAGTTTTGTCAGACCAGACCCAGTGTTAAGATTGCAGAATGTGGTTGCCATCTGTTATCTACAATCAAGGGAAAGATAATTGTAATTCTTATACAAACATATGTATATGACTAAATCATCAAAATAACCCAAAGCAGCCTACAAATACAACAAACTGACTAGTGCAAGCTCAGACTTTGGTGTTCTGTATTCCAAGAAGAGAATTTGAAGCCAACCCACAACTCCATTCAAGCCTTTTCACTTAAAACTAGTTAAAAAAGCATAGATTAGAGCTGGAACACTAAAAAATGTAGGCAAATGTTCTCCTAAACAATAGTTTAAAACATAGAAAAATCTCAACAGAAAGAAAAAAGATCAAATACAAAGGAAGACAGCCCTTGTGCTAGAACAAGGAAAAAGTAGGAGCGAAGACCTTGGTTGTAGCTGGGAGGTCAAGGCTGTAGAAGCAGCAACTGCAGCATCATATTTGGGTTCTTATTTTTGATTCAGTAGCTTCCTTCATTTACCTGAGAGTTCACTTCAGAGTCTCTTAGACTCACCATCGCTGAGTCACCAACAAAATCTTAGCATGGATAAGATAACTGTAGTCTCTCTGTCTCGTTTGTCCAAATGCCACATCAGATAATTATAGCTGGATTTTACGTTTCTTTTAAAGGGAAAATCTTTATTGAAAAAGAAAAAAACTAATTTTGCCCTAAAAACAAAACTTATGAAAAAAAAAAATCTAAAATTGATACATTGGTAGGCATGGGGGTTGAACCAATTGTCTATGGTAGTGAGTTGCTCCCTTCCACTCGAGTTTGAGTCTCGTAAATAATTTAAATTAAAAATAATTTAAACTATCACTTGTATACAAATTTAAAAAAAAAGTATAAAATTGAAACACCCTTATATGCTGGGCGTCAACACCGCTTCGTCCTCTTTGTGAGTGATGCAATCATCTCATTATGATGAAGGACAAGATATTTGTCAATGTATGTAAGTCACAAAATGAAAGAAAAAAAGGGGATCAAAGTTAGCAAGTAATCACAAAAGAAGAAAATATTAGGAGTGGGCATCGGAACTACAAAATCAAATTAAATCGAGGCGGAAAAAATCGTGTTGATTAAAAAAGTCAAAACTGACACAAAAATAGGTCCAATTTCGATTTTTCCACCTCCACAAACTAGACCAATATATTTATATATTTATATATATATATATTATATTTTTATATTTAATACATGTTGCAGGATTGTAATTGTTATGATGGAGGATTGTAATTTTGAATGAATTTGGTTTGGTTGTAATTTGTTATGCATGAGGATTTGTAATTTGTGTGTGTTGGATTGTTGTGTAGTTTGGTTGTTGCATTTTTTTTTTTTTTTTTTTTTTTTTTTTTTTTTTTTTTTGCTGTTGTGTGTGTTAAAAGTTTGATGGATGATGAATTTGGGCTTGGGCCTATTAGGCCATCTCCAACCATTGGACTCAAACCCAAAATATCCTCCCAAACCTCTCCCAACCCAAGAAAAGGAAGGACCCAAAATTTGGGGAAAACCCAAATTTAGACCCAAATATGGGTCCAAGTATTGCCTGGACCCAATACTATTCACTGAACCCCATGCTGAGGTGGCAAAGCCCATGTGCTTCTGAAAATTGGTGGGGACCCGTGCTGGTGACATTTTCTGATGGGTTGGAGCTGTGGCTAAAGCCATGTGTCAGCACTACAACAATGAGCTGTTGGGCTTGGGTTATTTACTTATTTTATTTTATTTTTTATAAATCAAATAGTATTGCTGGGGCCCACACGCACTGTGTTTCCAGCTCAGAGAGCCCTTGGGCTTCAAAGAATCTGTTATTTATTTATTTATTTTATAAAAATATTCTAATAGTAACTTTAAATTAACGATCTAGATTAAATCTAAGCTATTTTAATGGTAAAATTAAAATAGGTCAATTTTTTTATTTTTATATTGTGTGTTTTTTTTATGTAGTGTGTTTACTTTTGGAATAAAATTAAATTTATGGAATTTCGATTTTTTTAAGGTCAAATTGTTCAAAAAATTAAATTATGATGTTATTTAAAAAGATTAAATGAAGAAAAGTTATCCATAAAAAAAAAATTAGACTTAAACCATTCTTAAACAATTTAATAAAGTTGTGAACCTAAAATTTGAGTCCGGGCAAAACTCAAATAGTCACTTTTTGGAGGGGGGAAATTTGGGTTTAGCCCCTCATGGGTTGGAGAAGGCCTTAGAGAATGAATGTTGAAAAGTTGGGTTAGAAAAAATTAATTTTAATGGGCTTAAGATAAGGCTGAAAAACAAGAGAAAGTGAAATGAAATGGGCTCCAACATGTTTTACTAAATACAATTTTGGGCTAAGGCCCAAACTAGAAAACCGCAAGAAGCAAATCAGAATAGGGCATGTCTGGATTAGTTCGGTTCTCCCAATGATTTTTTTGACTAAATTGGACTGATGCTCTTTTTTGAGTGCTTCTATAGTGAGTGGAAAGTTATAAGGGGTTTTTTTGAGGGGTATGTAAGAGCCGTTGGATTTCATCCAACGGTGAGTTTTAAAAGAGGGTGCATGTAGAACCGGGTTGAAATCTGACCCGTTTGGAGACCCAACTTCAGCTGAAGATTTTTCCCTCTCTGTGAAAAACTCAAGAACACAATCCTCTCTTTTTTAATGTAATGCAAATCCACAATTAGAAAGATCCAAAGCTCCCAAACTCTATAATCGCTCCATTGTCATCAGCTCCTTGGGAGGCCTGCGATCTATGGTATCCTCGGTATGATGATTAATGGCTTTTACCTAGCTATTGCCCTGTTTTGATTCTATGATTGAAGTGAAAACCCCTTCTCTTTTTCGTTCAGCAGAAGAGATTCCAGATGAAAGCAAAGTAGCATATCTCTTTTTCGTGCTGCTGCAGTTGTTCCTGGATTTTGGTAGAGATGGAGTCTCCACTACGAAAGAATCCTCTCTAATGTCCACCACATTCTTTGAAGCTGACTGAGTTCGGAGCTCCCGATTGACTTTGAGAGGTAAGTTCACTCTTGCTGGATTGATTTTGTTGGGTTTGATTTGTTTTTTGTGAGGGTGAGAAATTTGTCATTTGTGGCATCAATAATGCGTCATTTGCTCTGCTATCAATAATGCGTCATTTGACTTTGAGAGGTAAGTTCACTCTTGCTGGATTGATTTTGCTGGGTTTGATTTGTTTTTTGTGAGGGTGAGAAATTTGTCATTTGTGGCATCAATAATGCGTCATTTGCTCTGCTATCAATAATGCGTCATTTCCTTATGAATATTCAATATACTTAGTTGATTATTTTTGTTTGGAGGGGGATTGGAAAATTATGAAATGTAGGTAAAAGATCCTAAACTTAGGCTTAATGGCATTAGAAGTAAGCATTTGGAGAGGATATTGGGTGAAGTTCTGTAATTGCTGGTTTGAATTACATTTGAGTTCTTAGTTGAACATGTTGGTTCTAATGTTATTTTTTCCAGATTATTTCACAAGAGATGACGTAACTAGTATTAAATTTTGCTTGTGTTTTGTGTAATTAGAATCCAACAAGCTAGGCTATGCGTGTATTGTGTCAATTTGGGCAATGTTTTGTGTAAGTGGAATGCATTGCTAAGTTGTGATGCAGTAATGATTGATTAATGAATTAACATTTGCTATGCAGTAATATAGAAGTAGATCAATAATATACGTGGATAAAATGTCTGGGGGCTCAGAGAGTGACGACTCTGTAACAGCTAATGGGAGGGTTTACATTCCTGAAGTAAGAAATGAGGAAACACCAGCAGTTGGGATGAAGTTCGACTCGCTTGACCTCGTTTATAATTTCTATAATAGATATGCATTCTTGGCTGGCTTTGGTATTCGACTTCATTCCAGCTTTTGGGGGAAAAATAAGAAAGAGATTCTGAGAAAAGAATTTGTATGTTGCAAACAAGGTGCATACCGGAATGATGAAACTCGGGAGAGAAAAAGACAACGGGGAATAAGTAGATGCAATTGCAAAGCTAAGATTGTGGTTGTGAAGACACATGGGAGCAAGAAGTATACCATCTCTCTTTTTGCAGAGGGACACAATCATAAGATGACACCCTCAGGAAGAATGCATTTACTGAGATCACACCGTCGTATTTCAGATTCTACAAAAGTACTTACAAAACAGTTGGGTTCGGTTAATATTCCCATTAATCAGAAGGTAAGTATTTTCGAGGTGCAATCCGGAGGAATGGATAAAATCGGTTTTATGAAAAAGGATATGTACAATCTTGAATGTAGTGTGAATGAGAAGCTGAGGAACCACGATGTTGAACTAGTGACCGAGTATTTTATGGCTGAACAGAAAAAAATGAGGCTTTTTATTTCAAGATTGAGGGAGATGGCGATAACAGGTTTAGTCGATGTTTTTGGGCAGATGCAACTTCTAGACGGGCGTACGGGTTTTATGGAGATGTTGTTGTATTCGATACCACATTCAACACGAATAGATACGACTTGACATTTGCACCAATGTTGGGAGTTAATAACCATGGTCAAACAATTGTCCTAGCATGCGCATTTTTGAGCAAGGAAACGACTGAGTCGTTTATTTGGATGTTTGAGGAGTTTAAGAAAGCCATGCCAGGTGGCGAACCTAAAACGATCATCACAGATCAAGATGCGGCAATGAGCAGAGCGATTTCAATAGCCTTCCCGACTACATTTCATCGACTTTGCATATGGCACATCACATCAAAGTTCTCTGTTAAGTTACCACATTCTGCTTATAAGGAGTATTGGGGTGAATTCCAGAAAGCCATATGGGATACTGACAATAAGGATGAGTTTGATGCAAAATGGAATATTGTGGTTACAAAGGCTGGTTTGACTGACCATCCATGGGCTAAGTTCAATGTTTGATTTAAGGGAATCTTGGGTTCCAGCCTACGCACGACACTTTTTTGCCGCTGGAATGTCAAGCAGCCAAAGAGCTGAATGTTCTCATGGTTTCTTCAAGCAATACATATCAAGGAAAAATTCGTTGATGGATTTCATAATAAGATTTGAGAGGGCACTTTCTCATCAACGTCAAAAAGAGTTAGTTGCTGATCACGTAGATGCATTTGAAGTGGCTCAATGTATTCTACCGATGCCAATGAACAAACAAATGGCTACCTTGTACACAAGGACAATGTTTCAAAAGTTTGAGCAAGAACTAATACAAAGTACAGCATGTTTCCTAGAGCTGAAAACAGAGGATGCTTCTAAAGTTGTCTTTAATGTGAGCGAAAGGAAAAATTGGGAAACAAGAGTGGCAGAAGTCGTATATGTCAAAGATTCTGACCACGCATCGTGTAGCTGCAAAAGATTTGAATTTGTTGGAATTATTTGCAAGCACATCCTAGCATTGTTCAGAAGGGACCAGATTGAATATATGCCCGATAAATACATTTTGAAGAGGTGGAAGAAAACTGCGAAATTTGGATTGGTGTCAGATGCAAATGGCAACGAAATTAAAGACTCTGCAGATCCTGGTCTTTTAATAAAGCGGAGTACAATGTCCCGACTTGCTTCAGATGTGGTTGAGGATGCATTAATGTGTGAAGAAGGATGTGAGCTACTGTCAGAGACTCTAAAAAGTTTGCAGGTGAAGTTGAAGTTGTTGAAGGATGGACCAAGTAATAACGAAGTTGGAGGGTCCAGCTCTCAAACACAATATATGAAAGACCCTAAGAGAGTAAGGTGCAATGGAGGGTCGAAACGAGTAACGGGAGCAAAGGAAAAGGCAATGAAGCGAGGGATTAGACACTGTCGGGAGTGTGGACACATTGGTCATGATAGAAGACAATGCCCAAGAAATTTGAACACACCGTAAGATGTTAACACTATTTATAATAAGACCTAAAATTTGAATAGGTAAAGTTCTTATGTGCTTCTGTTTCATGTTTATGCAGGACATCACCGTCGAACAATGACGAATCAACTCCAATAGATCTTAGTGACCCATTATTTGACGAATTTTACAGGATGCACGGACCAACTCAATGATTTAGGTTTCTATTATACGAAGCCCGGTTATTATGAAGACTAATGATCAGGTGAAGTTTTGTAGATGCAGTTTTATTATTATTAATTTTTTGTTCATGTCCACCGATGAGCTCTGACTATGTCCATTGATAATTGAAATGAAAATTTGCTTGGTTTCATTCTTGCATGAAATTTGGACACATGTTAATTTTACGTCTTCTCCCTATTTAGAAATTTTCATGGACATTAGATAAAGCATCAAATTTTGATTTATGTGAACAAGCAATGACTTTTACCTTGTAAAATGGGTAGTTTATGGTGAATTATGTTTGAATAGAGATTTATTGATTATATGACAGGCTAATGCAGCATTTCCAGCAGCCAGCTATTGTTTCCATTACCAGTAATGATTTCCAGCAGCACGCATCATTTGTAGCAGCACCCACTTTTTGCGAATGTTATGTTCTAGTGTTTTACTGGTGATTAAGATCTGAGCTGGACTGGTTATTAGGTGCACGATTTTGCAAACATTCGTAGCTGAAGGATACTTGAAGCACTTTGTTGGAACAGAAAGATTAGAAAGCAACGTGTAAAAAAGTACATTGCAGCTAATCACATTTCGAATGGTTGGGTAATATTAAAGGGTACACTAACATTTGAACTACTCATAATTCCACACACAAAAGAAAATTTGATTGCAAAGCATTTTATGTGCTCCCTCTTAGCAATAGCACGATCTCCCCAATAAACTGAACAACGGTAGCCACAATCACTAGGTCGTATTGGTCAGCTTCTTCTTAGCAGGTCTCGCGTGCTTATGGTCACTCATGTCCCCAGTGATTTAGACAAAATAAATATTCAGCAATATTGGAATTTTATTATATATACATAAACCATAAACCATTCACTACACAATGTATAGCACATGGCATTTTACTTATGACTCACGTGTCATGATAATGGGGGCTTTACTGATTACCAGGGTGCTGTGATATTGACTGCTTATTGAATAATATTTCCATAGTTGCAAAATATAATGTTAGACAGAAGGAACACATGATGACTTGCAAGACATAGTCCCAATAATTATATATGAAGCAAATGAAACTGATATTTGTATTATTTTATATTAGATAATGACATTAAGGGAACATAGTTCTAATTTGTGCAATACCACGATCACCCCCAACCAACAGAACAGCTGTAGCCGCAATCACTTAGCCGTATCGGTCGGCTTCTTCCGAGCAGCTTTGACGTGCTTATGCTCATTCATGTCACCACCATCGTCTAGTATCTCTCTCACAGCATCAGGGGACACATAGTCCCAATTATAACTTGTATGAGTTGTTGCCGCGAATGCTCGGAATTTTTCGAATCCTTCGTTGAATGCCAACTCCAGTTCACTGTGGTGCTCTTCGCATCGCATATGGTTCATCAAACAACCTTTAATTTCATCATTCATTACTGCATCCAACTCCTCAGCTTTCAGCTTCCTTTATGACTCAGCTTCAAGTACTTGTTCTTTTGGGGAGAACGCTTTGTTCACTCTAATGTTAAGATCAGCCAAAATGGCCTCGTCTTCAACACATTTCTCGTGCCATGAATTGATCAGTCTGGAATTATAATCCAGCTTGGTACTGACAGCATCTATTGCCTCTAATGGATCATCGGAGTCCCCCTCACTCCCAAATGATGTTGAAAATGGAAGGGGTCGGCGAGTACAACGTGGAAACGGAACCTGCGACTCCAATTTTCATCTTCGATTGTGTTGTTGGCGCCTGAAGAGGTTGACATACTTGAATAATCCTATTTGTTTTGGAGGATGAGGATTGCAGATGCAATTTCGTTTGAGAAATGGAACATAGCTTTATAGACCAACAGACCAAAGCTTGCGTGTAGTCAACATATCTACTTTATTTCAATTTTAAAAAAACAGGTGTCAGGTTTTGCTTTTCAAGCATGTCAACCTCACACTCTCCTTACACCACTGTTAGTGGTTGAAAGAAACTCAATGGAAGTGACATCTAGTTAGTGAACCCAACCAAACTAAACAAACTAGTTAGGATTAAACTTAGCTTGTATGAGACCTTTTTTCATTTATACATTGTCAACCAAATGTTTTTTTTGGCGGGAACCCTTTTTTATTGGTATTACTATCACCCCCTTCATAAAAATTCTCCCTCCACAAAAAACTCACTCCTCCACCGAATGTGTCTCCATCTACTGAAACTCTCTCCTCCACAGAAACTCTCTCCCCCCATTTAATGGATTTACTAACCAAGTTTGATGTGAGCGTAAATAAACACCCCTCCAAACAAAGACCGCCTTCGAAACGCAAGTGAGTCACCAGACAAGCAATGTCACTTTCCTAGACAGAATGACCATTTTGTTGGAAGTTTTGAGTCTGAAAGAGTTCTTGCTTTCTGGAAGGAGAGGCATCTTCAACTTGGTGATGAAATCCAAAGGGCAAGGGTACGTTTGGAATTTGTTGAAGGCCAAATTGAAGATGACAAAAGGCAGGCCCAATCTGGATAGGGCGAAGTTGCAGCGCATGAAGCGTAGACACAAACGACTTCGGAGTGTAGCTGTTCAAAAATACAAGAACTCATCTAATGCAAAGGAGTCAAAGAAGCGTGTGATGCAAGCTGGATTCGACTACTTCCGGTCCTATGCAAAACTCGTCGTACCCGGGTTTGATTGGTCATCTATTACCGTTTCCGACGTTAACAAATATACTCAGCAAGGGAAGTGACCATTTTGGTTATCGTGTTTGAGTAGAGGCAAATCAGAGGAACTGGAATTTTCGTTAAGCTCTGCTTCAAACCTATTTTGATGCTTACTACTATAGAAGATTTCAACCTTCATATTTCATGTCTTTAATTACGATAACACGATGCAAAGTGCCCATCTACTTCAGTCATATGTTGCTGCCATGTCCATTTTTTGTGATCACGTATCAGATTTGGACATGGTTGCATCATATGCAATGTTGCCTTTATGTATTATATGTTAGGGTAAGGTTTATGGAAAAGCATGTGTGACTGGTTTTGTGACAAGGTTATGGCATTATTTTGTACCAGTTATATATTGTTTTTTGTACTGGTTCATCTCCTACTATTGCTTTATTTCTTTATTATATGTTTATGCGATTGGACATGATAGAAAATATATTACTGATTCCCAATGCGGCGTCATAAGGACAACTTATTGAATACCGCCGACGTGTTGAAAACTCTAGGTGCAGGTGCATATGGGACAACTTATTGACTATATCTGACGTCTTCAAAGCTCTAGGCGCATGCGCAGTTCCAATTATGGCTTCCAAGTAGTGGTGCATTTATTATATATGTACATTATTATAACCAAAACAGATAATTTTACATCCTTATATATGAAAGGAAACTAATTCTTGTATTAGTACAAATTATATAACGAATATTAAGGAAATATACTTGTTAAAGTGAACAACATATATACTTAGGGTTAAGAGGAAAGTGAGTTATGTAAATCATTTTTGAATTTTTAATTGCGAAATGGATGATCTATGGGTTCCCCTCGTTTTTATAACGTCACACGGAGGCCGGAGTATTTTTCGGGGCATTTTAGGATTTTTCTACTATGTATTGCATTTTTTCAAAGATTTTTGCACTAAAAAAGCCAAAATAATTGCCAAATGGACACCTGGCGCGATCTCAGCCCCTCACCTTTCACCCCTTGACAGGTGTGCGTCAGTCAACATGGCCACATCCTTACCTTTTACCCTAAATTATTATTTTATGACTTTTTCTTAGAAAATTCATAACTAAATACACAAAAATCACAATAATGTTCCGAAAATTGCTACGACCTCATTGACACTCCATCTCCCTTGCTGAATTCCCCGATTAGTGGTTACGCATTTTAAAAAACAATTCCGAACATTAACGGGAGATGCTTGTTGAAGTAGGTTATTGAACTTAAAGTGAACAACATATATACTTAGGGTTAAGAGGAAAGTGAGTTATGTAAATCATTTTTGAATTTTTAATTGCGAAATGGATGATCTATGGGTTCCCCTCGTTTTATAACGTCACACGGAGGGCCGGAGTATTTTCGGGGCATTTTTAGGATTTTTCTACTATTTATTGCATTTTTTCAAAGATTTTTGCACAAAAAAAGCCAAAATAATTGCCACATGGACACCTGGCGCGATTTCAGCCCCTCACCTTTCACCCCTTGACAGGTGTGCGTCAGTCACATGGCCACATCCTTACCTTTTACCCTAAATTATTATTTATGACTTTTTCTTAGAAAATTCATAACTAAATACACAAAAATCACAATAATGTTCCGAAAATTGCTACGACCTCATTGACACTCCATCTCCCTTGCTGAATTCCCCGATTAGTGGTTACGCATTTTAAAAAACAATTCCGAACATTAACGGGAGATGCTTGTTGAAGTAGGTTATTGAACTTAAAGTGAACAAACATATATACTTAGGGTTAAGAGGGAAAGTGAGTTATGTAAATCATTTTTGAATTTTTAATTGCGAAATGGATGATCTATGGGTTCCCCTCGTTTTATAACGTCACACGGAGGCCGGAGTATTTTTCGGGGCATTTTTAGGATTTTTCTACTATTTATTGCATTTTTTCAAAGATTTTTGCACAAAAAAAGCCAAAATAATTGCCACATGGACACCTGGCGCGATCTCAGCCCCTCACCTTTCACCCCTTGACAAGTGTGCATCAGTCAACATGGCCACATCCTTACCTTTTACCCTAAATTATTATTTTATGACTTTTTCTTAGAAAATTCATAACTAAATACACAAAAATCACAATAATGTTCCGAAAATTGCTACAACCTCATTCACACTCCATCTCCCTTGCTGAATTCCCCGATTAGTGGTTACGCATTTTTAAAAAACAATTCCGAACATTAACGGGAGATGCTTGTTGAAGTAGGTTATTGAACTTAAAGTGAACAACATATATACTTAGGGTTAAGAGGAAAGGGAGTTATGTAAATCATTTTTGAATTTTTAATTGCGAAATGGATGATCTATGGGGTCCCCTCGTTTTATAACGTCACACGGAGGCCGGAGTATTTTTCGGGGCATTTTTAGGATTTTTCTACTATTTATTGCATTTTTTCAAAGATTTTTGCACAAAAAAAAGCCAAAATAATTGCCACATGGACACCTGGCGCGATCTCAGCCCCTCACCTTTCACCCCTTGACAAGTGTGCATCAGTCAACATGGGCCACATCCTTACCTTTTACCCTAAATTATTATTTTATGACTTTTTCTTAGAAAATTCATAACTAAATACACAAAAATCACAATAATGTTCTGAAAATTGCTACAACCTCATTCACACTTCATCTTCCTCCTCAATTCCCTGTTTCATGGTTACGCTACATTAGTATTTTATTATTATTTATCCAAAATTATTTTTATTATTATTTTATTTACTTGTTAGCTTGTACATTTGTTAATTATATTTACTCCAAATTTGTAATTTTATTTTTATTTTCCGTGTGAATAGACCATTTCTGGTGCTAATCAGTTTCTCTCTTCTTCAATTTGTTAATGTTTTTCTTTTTTAGGTGTAAGGGATGTTTTCAAACATAAAATGGAAATATACAAGCCATCCATTCTACAACATCAGGAAATAATTATTCAAAGTCTTTAACTGTTCAAGTTTTGCTTAAGAAACGTGTAAACCCAATCATTTGGGATATGCTAAGTGGGAAAATGTCATTCCCAAGAACCGGTGAAAAGACACATACTCACTTCATGCATGCGTTTTCGTTTACCAAATATTAAGATTGCAGTTGTACAAAATATCTGTGTCAGTAAAATGTCATTCTTAGCCGTCAATTATGTCAGTAATAATTCCACTATATAGCAAATATTATACATTTATATATAAACGGGCTAGGACAGCACAAACACCAGACAAAATAGATTAAAACAGAAATAGAAAACAACATGTGTAGAACATAGACACGCATAAAAACCGTAGAAACATACTCCAACTAATTATAAGGGTATGGATTCCCTGGCACAACATAGACACGCATCACCTTGAACCAAAAAACACTCTCACGGTGCCATTTGCATCGATTGCAACAAGTCCAGAAGGCAGGATTGATCTTTTCTTCACTAGGCCAGCCTGGAATAACAAAACACCAGTCGTTGTTGTTACAAGCGCTGCACTGATTGAACTTAATCTTCCCATAGTGAAACATATCTACGATATGTCTTCCAACAGAGAAAATTCCGCTTAATCGTCGTCTCAAAGCATCCCTGGTTCCTTTCATATCAATGTTGTTACGTTGATTCAAAGAACACACAAGAATTCCAATGCATCCTCTTTTGACTGACCAATTCCGGACATGCCAAGTAGTCCAACTAGATATGACGCTTCCATATGGCCTGCCGTGGCTGCAACGCGCATCCCAGACAATGCTTCCACATTACCCTGCCTGAAAAACATGTCGAACGCTTCTCTAAATATCGCCTCAGGGTTCTGGCAAGCCCTGCATTGGTCCACGAAATGCCGGACCTGCTCTGCGGGCATAGTACCAGTTAGGATGGTCTCGGTACTTTTCCATTGAAATTGTGTTCCACACTTGGGAGTGTTTGCCAACGTATTGAACAATCGGCACACACACGCCATACGAAAGAGATCTTCCGATGAGTTGGTTGCCACGTATAACATCACTTTAAACCAAGCTAATTCCGGGATGAAGGCTTGAGGCACATCCGGATCGCGATGCTTCCTTCTCTTTCCTCCGACTGTAGTGTAATGTTTGGAATTCATTGAATATTTTTGGAATGGAACGATTTGAGGACTGCAAGAGGGGAGAAATGAGAATATACGGGGTTTTGGGTTTGTTTTAGCCTCTGGTTGCACTGTTCTGAAAGGTGTTTCCTTGGGGTTTTACCAAGTTGACACTTTTTAAAGAAATGAACTCAACACCCAAAACATAAGACAGGCGAAGGGAAAACGTCATCAAATGCAAAGGGAGTAGACCGTCCAAAGTCAATTAATAACCTTTTCCATAGCCATTGTTAGGCTTTTCCGCCATTAAATTCATTGATACAAATGTGATGGATTACTGACTAGTGACAGAAGGTCCCCATCAGATACCTTTTTCATTTTTCCCCCACCACATTCCCCCTTTTAAGGCGGGTCTTATCCAACTAGTTGCCTTAATGCAATATAAAGAAAATAATAATATTTTAAAGCAGTGTCCCCTCAATTGTAAGATTAATTATTGGTTTGTGAAATAGAGATCGCTTATCGGAGTAAAATGTGTCACAATTCTGACGGCAAGGTGTCAGATCGGGGACCAACCCACCACACACAAAAAGAAGGATAGGATATTCGATTTGGGAGAGATGAGAGAGAGCTGAGTGAGAAGTTATGGGTTATGAATTACTGAGTGAGGGTATAACTCAGAAGGTATGAGTCCGAAGGAGGTGTTAGTGAGAGATGGAGTGAGAAGAGTACAAGGATAAGATTCAACATGTCTTGTTTCATCCACGCTAAACAAAGAGTGTCAGTATGGTGGAGCTGACAATGGGTGCTTCGGGTTTCAAAATCAGCTAAAAAATCGCTGGTGGGATGGTTGGGAAGGCATTTTTGGAGTGGTCTACCCTCTATGTAAGTTCTCATTTCCGAATAGTAGTTGTGGGTGGAAACAAACCATCCTAGGACCTTTGACAAAATATTTGCATCATGATGCCTGCAATTCGGGAGCCACTAGCTTGCAATGGTTCGATGGGTTGAGTAACCTACGCTGAAGCCGATCAGCAAGCTGACCGTTATGGCTATTAGTGCTTAATGTGAAGTCATTAAGGATTGGTATGAGTGATTAGTTGGATCAAGTCATATATTGGGTCTTTTAACGGACCAATTAAGGCACGGTTTGCAAGGATTGTAAAGTTCGCCCAAAAACATGTGTGCACAGCACACCACTGACTTTTCCCAACTCAATTTGTAAGTTTGTTATTGAATAGGGGATTCGCAATTGACGTTTTAAATTATGTTTGAAACAAAAGCATTGATTGCAGAAACCCAGTAAACCCTTTCTAGTCTTTACAAAAAATAAAGGCAGACGCAAGCCGATAAGATGGACAAACCGGGCAATACGAGGAAAATAAGAAATACATTTTTTTACGATTGAAATTCTCAGGGATATAGATTGTTATGCTGCATGAATAGAATGATCATTGAATGTTTATTGAAGGTTCATTACCGCATATTTTCGCATGTTTACGGCGAAGCGTGTATTGAAGGTTGATTGATTGTTGCATGTTTCGTGATGGTTTATGATTGTTAAATGCCTGTATTCCACTGTTATGGACACCGCTATTGAAGGGTTATTGAAAGTGATTGAGTGTTTCCGATGGATATGCATGTTATGGCTCCCAATATTGCAATGTATTGGGGGCAAAAAGTAGGGGAACTAAGTTAGATTTAAGGGGGGAAACGTCCTATTCTTTGTTTTCGAGGAAGAAACACCTTAAGTAGCATTTCATATTCAAACGACTTCATTATGTTTGCGTAATTGGGGAATGATGTATATGCATGTTATTGCTGGGATATTCATATCTATAGGTATATGCTGTCTGTGATCGTGTATGGTAGATTTCCGTCGTAAGCAATATAAATCAATACAGACGCAAAACATGTAAAGATATGACGAAATAGACAAGCAATTATCGACCCAGACATGATCTAGACGCATCCATATACATTATGTAGGTACTCAGCTGACCCAAAAAGACAATAAAAGAAAATCAACCCCTTGTGTAACGTATATTAACGGAGGAGAGTGGATTCACAACGAGGGGCAGTGCGGGAACTCAATAGGGAGTTTTTAGAGCATGGCACTGGGGACATTTTTCATGTGTTTAATAAGGAGGGACATGGTTGAATAAAAAGGGGAGGCTGAGGCCCATAGCATGCCGATTCCCTTACAGAGTACCTGAAGAGCAAAACCCAGGCGATGAAAGTCAAGGCAGGTGAACGGGCTGTAAAGATTGGGTATCTGATATGCTGGAGGGGGGCTGGGATAAATGATGACATATCAGCGTTGCAATGATGTAAATATCACATACAAAGCCATCAGTCCGTATGTGATTATGCATTATTGAAAATCCTAAATCACATATGCAGTCTTCAAGCCCATCAATTGCAGTTTGGTGCGGGATTTTGGGTAAATGTCGTGATGAGGTTAGGCCCAATTATTACCCGATGTTTGTTCATTACAGCAAAAAACTGTACACCATATGCCACATTCGATGTAGGGGAAGGCATGTGTTATAACTTCAAAAACGCATTGGGGAAAAAAAAAAAAAAAAAAAAAAAAAAAAAAAAAAAAAAAAAAAAAAAAAAAAAAAAAAAAAAAAAAAAAAAAAAAAAAAAAAAAAAAAAAAAAAAAAAAAAAAAAAAAAAAAAAAAAAAAAAAAAAAAAAAAAAAAAAAAAAAAAAAAAAAAAAAAAAAAAAAAAAAAAAAAAAAAAAAAAAAAAAAAAAAAAAAAAAAAAAAAAAAAAAAAAAAAAAAAAAAAAAAAAAAAAAAAAAAAAAAAAAAAAAAAAAAAAAAAAAAAAAAAAAAAAAAAAAAAAAAAAAAAAAAAAAAAAAAAAAAAAAAAAAAAAAAAAAAAAAAAAAAAAAAAAAAAAAAAAAAAAAAAAAAAAAAAAAAAAAAAAAAAAAAAAAAAAAAAAAAAAAAAAGTGATTTTGTTGGTTTTGAGTGAAATCCAATGGCTAAAACTATGCAATACACCAACCACTGCATTTCAGAACGAACTCCCAACGAACCTGAATAGTCCGATTTCATGGACCAATCGATACCTGTTGTTAAACTGTTAACTCGCAATTGTACGGGCCAATTAGTAATATAGCAAGACAAGTACGAGGTCGTACCCACGAGGACTGAGAAGTTAAAATTAGTTATGTACTTAGATTACCAAATTCAAGAAAGTAGGAGGTTAAGTCTAAATAGAATTTAAAGCAAGAGTGATTGTAATTGTTGAACAAATGAGGCAAAACGAAATTTCAAACAAAAGCAAAGTGAGCAAATGTAACAAAGAGTGTTTTTGTGGGCTGGAAAACAGATTGGGAGACTAGGGCATTCGATTCACCATAACAATTCAATTCTAAGTTATAAGGAGTCAAGTGACAAGTCTAATTCAGATTCAAAGATTGATTCTAGCTAAAGTATGATTAGGCCATGGTGTCTGGTCCTAACCTTGTGTTCCTAATTCCCTAACTTGATCATTTGTTGTCTAACCTAAATTAAGCATTAGGAACTCATTAAGCATAGAAGAACAATTTAAACAACCAAGCATGTATCTGATCCCTGTTGTCGAATGTCCATACATACTTTTCTTATTCATAGTTCAATTCGAATCAAAGCATGGTGTCTACTCTTGATTCAAACCAAGATAGCTAATATACAAGTTCTAATGGTGATCAATCATCCAAACAAGCATATTAACTGATAAGCATAATGAATAAGAACATGAATCATGAATCAAACTTGAAACTCAAAACTTCAACTTATAAACCCAGAATATTCATGTTAGGTTACACCGAAGTCCTAGTTATGAATTTAGCTACTCATAATGGAAATGAAACTTAAACAGAAATGAGAAAACATAATGAATGTAATAAGAGTGGAAAAACCCATTTCTGAAGTTACTTGTGGTGTCCAAGGCTTCTCCAAGTGCTTCTCCACACCTAATGCTGCTCCAAGAGCTTCCTCACATCTAGAGTATGGCAACTAAAGAGGTGATTTGGGATGAGTTTGGGTGAGTGGTGATGGCAGAGAAAGAGGAAATTCGTAGGGAAATGGAAGGAAGGCTTGTTGGAGCTGTTTTGGTGATTTGGGGCTGAATGGAGTGTTTGGGGAAGGATGGGAGTGTTAGAGGATGGCTGAAGTGAATTTTAGGCTGAATGGAGTGACCTTCTTTGAATGAGTGTGCATCACTCAATTTATAGAGTGCAAATTCGTGCTCCCCCTTTGGCTGGTGAAGCACACCCATTCCTAGCTATTCCCACTTGTCTGAGCTGCCCATTAGGTTCCCATGCTGCTGATTTGATGTGTAGCCCATGCCTCTAGGAATGTCAGCTGCCCATACCTCTTGGAGTGTCAGCTGCCCATGCCTTCTGAGTTTCCATGCTGTCTTGTCAGCACATGGCTCAACAGCTAGCAGTTGCATTCCTGAGCATGGTGTGCATTTTGATGGGCTCACGGATTGGGCTTGACTTAATCAATTGATACATTTGAGTTGTCCATCTTGAAGTTCAGACTCTCATCTTTCCAGGCACATATTATATGGGCCAATCAAAGTTGGGAGAAAGACGTTAAGGCCGAAATGAGTTGCCAACCCAGTCTGCTCGTTTTTGCACCATTTTGCATCTTTTCTTATCCAAAGGCACCATTGCTACCTAAGGCTCAATGAACTGAATGATAAACAGAAAAAGGGATTAAAAGCACACGTTTGACTCAATAACATAACCAAATCATAAGTTAGAAGGGTACAAAATGATATGCAATTGTGAACTGATCAAATTACCCCCAAAAAAAAAAAAAAAAAAAAAAAAAAAAAAAAAAAAAAAAAAAAAAAAAAAAAAAAAAAAAAAAAAAAAAAAAAAAAAAAAAAAAAAAAAAAAAAAAAAAAAAAAAAAAAAAAAAAAAAAAAAAAAAAAAAAAAAAAAAAAAAAAAAAAAAAAAAAAAAAAAAAAAAAAAAAAAAAAAAAAAAAAAAAAAAAAAAAAAAAAAAAAAAAAAAAAAAAAAAAAAAAAAA